ACTGTGATAGTTCTCACCCTCCGGTGTCCCACTGCGAAAAGATGAAGAATGCCTCCGTCTGTGGATCTGACCCTTGTGGTTGACACTTTGCATGTTTTTTGGTAGCTGAAAACCAATAAAGTGTGGAGTGGATAGACATCAAACAAATCTGTACAGTGTCAGTCTTACATCAAAAGAAGATGGAGGAATCTTTGGCATGCCATGATGCATGTTGTGCTAGAACCAGCCAACACAGCTGGCCAACTTTACTCTGTGATTATTGCATGATAACGATCTCAGAGCTGATCCTGTACAGCAACCCACAGCAACATGTGAGTACTTACCCAATGAACAAAGGTTCATTGTACCAATAGTAGTCCATGTGTAGAGGGTTATACAGTAATACCCCTACTGATTCAAGAAATACATTAGAAAATAACTCCATCTGTATCAGTATAGTAGTTGTTTGAACATACGACCATCACAGGCAGCACACTCAGTTCAGTTCATTGTGGATGCCACCCAAAAAGTGTTTTCTGTTTAGGTAACAGATGTTGAATGCATGTAACATCACGTCCATAATGGGTTGGGAAAGGAATATGTGAGCCACAGTCTACACAATTTACATATTTAAATACAGTAGAATGCTGTGCACTTGTTGCACATTTCAATCACATTCTCAAAAGTGACCAATCAAAGTATAATTTGTTTTTCTATAATGTCAATAATTGGTATATTGATTGCACCACTTCTGCACATTAGTGAAGAATAATTAATGGTAAGCTATCTATCTTTTTTATACTTTTAATTCTATCTGTCATGTTTTAGAGCAATGCTGTTCTCTTTGGGTTATTTTTAATTGGAATAGCCGACTGACTTTAGTTGTATGTCTGGTTTCAAATTGGTTGCTGAACGACATCATTACGTTTTTGAGCAGAGAAGTAATTAGTGTATTTCTATAATTGAATGTTCTTGTTATACTTGTACCTCAGTGCGTCGACATGGTTGACTTAATTTCCTTTAAACCTAAGCCAAAAGTACTTGGACAGTTGACGAGTGTTATGTTGTGATGCTCTGCCAACGGTGCAAAGCCATTAAAGCAAGTGTCTTTTGTAATCCTTAGTTGTTTCCAGGAGAAAACCAAGGATGCATGCATGTTTGGGCATGTTGGGAAATGAAATGTGACAAAGGCACAAAGAAGGTCCAAACTCATCTAGAAGTTTAGGTGCTTGGAGCACATGATTTCACTGTTATCAGGCTCACAATCAGAGGATATGATTGGCAAGTGGCCGAGTACTGGTGACTGAACAACCCTCGATTGTGTCAGCACTCGTTTACTGGGTTCTAAACACAAAAAACCCAGACACTTCTACTCCTTTTTCTGTAAAGAAACATAGTTACACTGTCACTGTCATGAGAAAAATAAGACTCGACTAAAGAAAAATACAAAAGCACAACAGGGGTTTCTTCGGCTGGTCCAAATAAAAGGCCTCTTTTGTGTGTTTTATAAGACAAGGCAATGCTGTCGATGTCACACATTTGTGAGAAGACCAGCATGCTGACTGCATTACTGTATGAGCTGTTACTGAAATGTAGGCAATGTTCATTTCACGAACATAACCGTCTCTATAACTATCTCTCATGTCATTTGTCAGTACTTGAAACAGGCCTCACAACCTCAGACTACATGTAACCATGCCAACCCAGGACCTCCATATGTGGCTTTTTCACCTGCAAGATCATCTTTGCCTAACAGCTGATGCAAAGCTGTTGGTTTGCAAATCAAAGGGTCTTTGCACAAACGATCAGAGCATGAATTGTCCTTAGCAGGTTACTTGTTGAGTGGACTGCAGTCAGTCTTCGCTACCAACTCCAGAAGTGAGCAAATTCTGACACTTAATGGTGTTTTCACTTTTGATGAAGTTTTCTCAGAGATGAGAAAATCTGGTTCAAGAAATGCAAAACCAAAAAATGCATATCTCTAGCTATAGTCATGTGAAATTCATAATTTAGAGTATACCTAATAAATCAAATTTTGCAAGATAAGCATGTAATTTTAGAGTAGCCTTTTATTGTGACCAGCCCAAGGTACAGTACACATGTTATAATCATGCTGTTTAATAAGCTTGAGTTGCAATACCTGTCAGATGGATGAGTTCTCTTGGCTTACCAATTGTAAGCAGTTTTTACGGAGTATTTAATACAAATAAGTATTTTTTGTGGATGGAAAAAAAGCATCCTTTTTTCATTCTACTTATCAATAATGAAAGCCTTTACAGCAACCTAAAGTGTTATAAGGAAACTACAGTGTATAGTTTAATATATAACAGTAAGTACTGTGGGACCCCACTCCATGTCTCACCAAAGTCCATGTTCAGCCTCAGCTTTTTTGGCAAAAACACACACCAAGGAGTACCAGACATGAGCTAAAATAGAAATGTAGACTTTCAAATAAATGGAGAAAAACACTCCTCTCGTCCAGAGTACACTTTTGCTTCCCAAACAGACTAGTCAGCTGGGGCCTTTGGTCTTAAATCAAACGATGAAAGAATAGCACCATGCTGGATACAGCATTAGGTCAGTATCCTCCTGATGTTTGGACTGTAAGTAATGATTTATTGTAATCATAAGAGCTGACTGGAGTTCAAATGTTTCATCTTATTGACTAATAGATTTGTTGGACTCCATTCAGTGTGTTTTTTGTCATGTATCTGATGAGTTTGTTGAAAAACAGATGTTTTACTTGTTGAAATCATTATTCCACTATGTATGACAATGGGAAGATTGTTAGCAGTTATACATTGCAATTGGCTTTGAATAAAGAGTTAGGGCACGTTGGTGCAATCGAAGCTCAGGTGTTTAAAGCCAAACAACATTAAATTGTTTTATCTAAGCAATTGAATGGGCTTATGTACAAACCTGTTGTGTTAAGTTAATAACCAAGTCCGGCAGCTCATTATATTTACTTGTCGGCCCAATAATTAATCAGGCCGGCGTCTAACATCAAGGTCACATACTCTTCTTAATCTGTCCTTGTACTATCCATCATTTAGTGTCATTAATCTTCATTAATTTAGCTCCCATGAATAATGCTTGGCTTTGTTTTTGGCAGTATCTAAATATATAAGTTATAACAGTGGGATTTCTTCCAAATGACTTGTTTTTGATCAGTTTAAAGGATTGTGAAATTATTCCAAATGTGTTTTACACAAAATGTAAAGAGCAATGGGTAAATGTGAGATACAACTTTTGTGTAATTTGCATTATTCCCCAGAAATGAGGTGATGGATCAATATGAATTGAAATTCTATTTGAGTAAAAATATGTGTTCCTTAGCCGTACTCTACTTTATGATTTAAGGGAAATGATGCTTTCCCCTCAGTCCAAACAAACCTTTGACATCCGATATTTTAAGGACCCCTAACCAAACCTAAAGGAAATCAGCATGAGGGAATTAGAACACTAATGGTGGACTTCACTATTATGAAGGATACTGTGTTTCTTGGAAAGCAGAACCCATTAGCATGAATGCAACAGCCCAGTCTGTCAGGTTTGTGTCTGAGAGAGTAATGACTTTGGCTGCAGCTCTCGCCAGTAATAAGTACCTCTGCTCAACCTCTTCTACTTGAAATCCCAAAAATGTGTCCCGGGGCAGAAAAAAAAAAAAATTGGACAACGACAGCCTTGTCAGCAGTGAGGTGTTTTTTAAGTAATGGCTAAATGTAAAGCCAAGATGAATCTGCACACAGGTGCCTGGAGAGGATGTTTCCTGTTCTGGATCGAACTCCAGTTCAGTTCTGCTGTGGACACAAGATCTGTGAAACACTTAATCACTCAGCAAAGATGTTTTAAAGTGATTTGTTGATATTATGAAGCTGGGGCAGTTGTCTTCTTTTACCAACCCTTCTTTCCCAGCTCATAAACATCCATTTGCTGAAGATAGATCATGCTGTCAAAATTGTTGTAGAGATAAAGGCCCGATAGCCTGTGTTAGTATGATGATACTGATGACCCTGGATGTACAGGTGGTATCAGAAGAGAGGAGAATCCTGCTGTGATTGATTCTGCTCAATATGTTGACCTCTAACTTTGGAAGACCGCAGAATAAATATGTAACCCATATGTGCAATTATGTGATCCACCTCTTTGAAGTTACTTTTAAAAGTACATAAGACTGGTTGTTGAGATACTGTAGAGTAAGATGATTGATGCTCCAGGGGTCAAGTCCTCTGTTTCGCAACAAAAAGTACAATTTTAGAAACTAAAGCTCTCTAAAGTTGAGAGTGGACTAATGTTGGTCCTCCCTCTACTTATGATATCTGTTACAGGACTGACATTGACAATTATCCTGATGAATCTGCTGTGAGACTGCACAGGCTAGCAGGCTGATTTTTCTCAGGTTCTTTTTTCCTTGTCCTCTATGTGGGATGCAGACAGTTTTCTTTTTTCGTTGCTTACCACTGTGACTGACTTCTCTACATGGACTGCCAGGCACAGTGCACTGCTGTTTCCAGATCATTCCTGCAGCGAGTGAGTTTGTAATGTCTTGTTCTGATATTTTGTAGATGCATGCTGATAGTTGCTGTGTTCTTTCCCCTCTGCTGTTATGCTTTCTGGATCACTTGCTTGAGAGCAAAAGCAGAAACATTTGTTACTGCTTGTTTTAAGAACCAACCGGGTGAACATTAGAGCCAATGAGGAAAGATAATTATTAGGGTATTTGGTTTGCTCTTCCTCTGTCTCTCTTTTGACTCTCACAGATTAGTATGCTCAATATCCATGCAAATGTTTGGCAGACAGTTCAATTCCTTCTGGATGAGAGGGGGGGTGTTTCTGTCTCTCTCTCTCTCCCTAATCTGTGTGCGTGTGTGCGTGTGTGCGTGTGTGTGTGTGTGTGTGTGTGTGTGTGTGTGTGTGTGTGTGTGTGTGTGTGTGTGTGTGTGTGTGTGTGTGTGTGTCTTCCCCTTTCTCTCTCTTTCCTTGCTGGCAGCAGCGTCTATACTGTTGGCAGGAGTGACCAGAATAAAACAGCAACACCAGACATAGAGGAGAAAAAAAGCAAAGTGATCCATTGAACAAGGGGGTTTTGCCCTCTCTTAATTACGTCGAGTCTCATATCTTTTCCTTTTTTTCACCTTTTCCCTACTCTTATGGGGGCTTGTGGTAATTAGTTTGAAGAGAATAAAACCAGCTGATCGGGAGAGGGGTGGTGCATTTTCAAGCGAGATGGCTAACAGAAACATTCTGTTGCTCTTCTGTGGACTCTTCCTCTTAGCACTGATTCATCCCTCTCTTCAAAGAGGTAAGTGTGTGCTGCAGGTGAACTGAGACATTTATTGGACTGCATCAATCACAGGCTTAGAACAGGTGCAATTTGATTGTGTGCCTCCTCAAAGTTTTGCTTTGTACAGTAGGTACACATATTTATTTATACACCATGTATTATTCATCGGTTGCAATGTAATGTAGTTTAAAGGTATATCAAATAAGAAATATTTTTAGGGCAAACTTTGATTTTTTTAATCTTTGAAATTAAATATTGTCTAGTCTTCTCTATCTTCTGCACATGTCTAAATCCCTGAAATGTGTTGTTCCATCCCATCATCAGTGACCCTAACCCTGATGATGGGATGGAACAACACGGAACATAGAGATTTTTTTCTTTGCATCATATTTGTTATGTCTGTTCCTGCAAATGTAGAGATTCAGCACTGTCCAGAATTTGATCAGATATTTCTGTACGGTAATCGCTGACAGTAAAACGTGTATCACTCCAGCTTGAATAATAAGAACCGACCCTGCATCATAATTTTTCGTAATGCCCATTCCTATCCAAAGTAACTGTTCATTTCTGTGTCTCTTTTTTTTTTCTGTGTTCTTAAGACGGTTAAATTACGTTCTACTTATGCATACATAGTATATGTTTACATGGCTGGAGACCATATCCTATAACATGTCAGGAAGAGAAGGTTGCCCAGCTGGTCCCTCTTTTCACTTTGCCAAAAGCAATTGGTGTTACATCACCCTTGATGAACTCCCAGTGGACACAGTGCATATGTGTGTCAGGTCTTCTCCTGAAGTTAGAGGACTGTTCTGTCTAGAATCAGTGAAGCAGAAACTTGCAGGTTTTTTGCGCCCAGCATCAAGTGCAGTTTAAAGGTACAGCATATTTGTTTCAGACACACAGAGAGATATTGAGCATGCGTTTCCTCTCCCTCTCATTCGACCCATGATTTAGCTGTTTCTCCCCTTTCTGCATTGCTTTGATTAGGTTTCTGGCCTGCGCTTTTCCTTAGATTCTCTAGGTTATTCTGCCTCAATCTGGGCAACATGTTTAGCACCTGGGGCTGGCTATTCTAGAGTCCATTTTTTTAAATTGTATTTATTTGATTAAAGATCACAGCTGTTTATGTTACTTATCTTCCTTTTAGATGCATTGTGTTTAGCTTGCAAGATGAAAGAAAGATGAAATATTTTGTCCATATAAAGTGTCTTTCTTGCCTAGCTACTTTATTGGCCTCCTCTATTTTGGTCACATTGACAAAGTTTACCAAGTCTGCTTTGATCAGGTCATAGATTGTATCTAAAAATGTATTTTGCCCATCTTCTCTCCGCCTCATAGCACATTCATCCTTTCTTCTTTGTGCCAGACACATTTCAGTTGAGATCTTTTGAGGTGAACTGAAGAAAAAAATGATGTAGTAAAGGAGCCAACATATATCAATATTGGCTTTACAGCACTTTGATCTCAAGTGATTGTTGAATCTGTCTAAACCAAACCTTTCTGTGGCGCTCAAAGTCGTTCCATCTGTAACTGCGTACTCTATCTTGAGGGGAAGAATTCTCTCTGCATGGTGCAAGGGTCAATTATCTGTGAGTAACATAAATCCTATTAACACCCAATCCGGTTATTTAATGCCTATGCACAGAAAACACCTCTCATACCTGCGATATTCAACCCTTGAAATATAGTGTAGTGCAAAGCTTTTCTATCAACAAGGGTATAAGAGTTATGGTTCTAGAGGAAACATCTGGAAAGGACTATGTTAATAAATATGCCGTCTGTCATGGTAACCTATAACGCTGTACAGGTACTTTAGTTACTTTTGCTGGAACTTCCTAGTATAATGGAGTAGGCAGACTACGCTTAAAATTTACGAGCAAACATTTGTCACATGGGTGCAGTTAAGTTGCATGTTATTTTGACCTCTATTTTTTTATTACTGCATTTGATAACTTAATCAAACCCAGACCTAAATAGTTGATAGCATTCTTGGAATAGATTTCTCAACTTAGGAATGTATTTAAGTTTGTTTGCCTTTGCCACTAACTTAATAAAAGGAAGACTGATAATCTCATACAGTATTTGCACATTTTTGTGAAAGGATACCAATGTTTCTTACTTTCTTTTACTTTAAAAACTCCCAAGTACCAAGTATCCTGTTTTACAGGTATTAACTTGACAACAACCAACTGGTGGACTTGAGCCAAAGTCATTGATTAAGTTAATTCTGACAGGCCAGTGGAAGATGAATAGGGGGAAATAGCTCCTCTTCTTTTGTTGCAGTCTTAATGGTTGTGGGATGTTTTCTTTAGTCCTGGTGAAAGCCAGTTTGCCTCATTTGGCATTGGTCGAGTTAAGCCCTGAGACATCGTAGGAATTCAACATTAATACTTGACACCTGCCTGGCTGTTGGTGAAGTTAAATGAAAACAGTGCAGATTGGATGGCATGAGTATGTTGTCATAAAACACTTGTGATAAACTGCAGCTTTACTCCGGCTTTGCTGGTAGATACCCAAACTGATAGTGTTGAATCCTCAAGCAAGTGGTGCTTCAGCCTTTATTTGTATTGTGTAACGAACAACTCTCTGCTTTTAATCCCTCTTCTGGCAAAGCTCAGCGCAAACCATAGCATACTGGATTAACGTGAGACACATCAAGTGGGCATTCCAGTTCCCAACAACTTCACTCTGTAATTAAAGAAATAGACCTATCTGAGAAGCCTTGAAGGTTTTTCTTGATTTTAGTTTTTTGTTCAATTACTTCAACTTCCTTAATGTTGGACCCACAAAGGCATTTTCATTTGATGATGTCGAGGGGTTTTGTGCAATTTGTAGTGAGGTGACCTCATTCAGTAACATTTTGGGAAGGAGCTTTTTGGTTACAAGGACTGACTGGTTAAGTTTGCGATTGTGAAAGAACTGTTATTCGATATCTTTGTTTTTTAGTCTTGCACACATTCTGGGAAAGTGTTAAGGAATTGGACAATTCAATCCTCGGCGTGCATTTTACATTTAAGCTTGTTGGCTGGCACTGAACACATTTTCTTTTTCAAAGCTCCTAGCTAAGCCATTACTCACTGTAACTACTACCAAGTGCAGTTTAAGGATTCAACTGTATGTCTGGGTTGTTTTTAAAAGACATGTTATTCAACTGACTGTACTTTTAATGGGTCAACTCCATGCACCATACAGTGTATACACGAAGTGGACGTAGTCGCTATGATAATGTCCATGAGTTTGTGGACTGAGGTAATAAATCAACTGAGAAGTGTGATAATTTTTTAATTGACTTCTACACAACAGACCATTGGAGTTGCCCCCTGCTGACCAATTAAAAGATTACAGGTTTAAAGTACACTGAGGTTGTCTCTTGCACTATACTCAACATTGTTACTGTCTGCAGTCATACATTTGTAAACCTCATGGACTGTATGATGCCAATTCCATCTTAAATGGATGGCTCAGTTGAATCACAAATCAGTTGATTGAATGCCAACAGGTTTCGCACAAAAAATAATACTTTTACATACGTAGATATATACTGTACAGCATGTGTACATTTGCTGTAAGGGTAATCACATAGTAGTGAGTCCTCATTATAGCTAGAAACACCGTTAATACTTTGTTAAGTTCTAACTCTTACTCTGGTTGTGGAAGAATTTCAGTCCCAGCATCTCCCAGTCAGATGTTTGGTGTGCGATCAAACCCTGCCAACTGTTCAACATAGAAGCACATTAACTCCGATGATTCATTCCAGCCACTCTGCAGGCAGACCTCACCGGGTTGTGAGGTCTCTCTGGGCCAGCACACTGAAAGGGCTTCTGTCACAATGTTTTCCTGTCGACCCCCCTCTGCCTACTGATTTCCAAGATATTATAGTTTTACAAACAATATGACAACATGAGCACAACATTAGTATTAAAGAAACGTTTTTTCAATTCAAAGCCATAACTGATGATAAACTGATGAGAGAAAATGGTAATAAAATCAACCTGATTAAACACATTACGTCAATATAATCAAATCCTCGGGCATGAAAACATTCTATGCTGTGTTATATTAGTTTTAGTGGGATTTCTTTTTGTGAAAGAGGGTGGGAGTAAACATGGCAGCTTTAGGCCTTTGGCATCAATACATTGGGCTAAACCAAACAAAACAGCATTTTGGAAGTGTTTGTTGGGTTTTAGTAACAAAACTACTGGAGAACATGTCCAGTTCCCACATACTCTTTATAAATTGACTGCAGACTCGACTGGATGGTCCTGAATTTCTCATTCACATAAATCTAATATTTTATGCTCTCCCTGTCCAACTTTGTAAACTTATATTCTCATTGCCAGTATAAAAGTTGAACAGTCAATATCTTGCTCAAACATTTTATTTATGATTCCTTGTCTCATTCATGTTCCTTCTCATATTTCAGATGTTGCGTCTCAACATTACATTCCTAAGTGCAATTTCATTTTTGGAAACCTAAACTTTATGACTATTTTAGCAGTTACTACTACTGAGTCATTTTGCTGCTATTGACAGGTATTGCGTCAGATCTTTTTGTTTTGGTTTAAAAGCTTCAGATAGAGGGAAAGGAGAGAAGGCACACTGTAATTTGTATCTAATTTATCACATCTGACACAATAATAGACGAGGCTAATAATTGTGTTCAATCACTGCTTATCTTTTCACAAAGTCCAGTTATGAAATACCTAAACAGGAAGTCCACATCTGTTACAGACTCAATTTGTTGTTTTAAAAGGCACATCTTATCTAATTATGTAACGATGTTCTGCCAGTTGGTAGGCGATACTTCAGACACTCAAAAGCCACATTCGATAAGAACAGGATGAGAATCAGATCTTCTTAGGGGTTCAAATATGGCCGATAATGGGCTGTGAATTTGTTTGCTGGTATACAGTATACCTCCCATACCTCACACCAATGTCCTACTTCAGGGTAGTTTCACTGTCAAGGTTTGGCCTTGTAGAAAGCGACGGTGGAGTTAGGTTGAGGTATGTTACCAGAAAAAGATGGACCAATTTATTTAAATGTTTTGAAGCTCTTCACTCTCTTTCTCTTGCCTACAACATGCTGTGGAAAATAGACAAGGGCTGACTGATAGTGGGCCAGCTGTCACATGTCTGATAACAGGAGATTTGAAAGTGCCAGCAACCACAGTGTTTGCTTCACTGCTCTGTTGCTCTGGGTTTCAGTATTGGAGCTTTCCATAGACCAAGAGACCATACCTTCTCTTCTGGGACAGTGGTTTTGGATATTTCGAAACACAGCAAACAGTTTTTTCTAGTTTGCCAACATTTTATTTTAATTTCATCGGAAGTGATGTCAGGTGGTCAGTGTTGATAAACACACTACAGGGTTTTTCTCCGAAGGACTTCCCAAACAATTTGGGCTCCATTGCCTGCATTGATATTGAAATACTTGATAAACATGTCAATTCATACTTTCTAGGCCAGCATACAGAGCAGGACATGATGCAAAACTAAACCAAAAATGTGCTGGAAACAGTTCTTTCCACCTGCTTGCTTGTGTCTGGTGGATTACGTCATTTTATCAAAATTCAAAACAAGGTAATTGGAGAGACCAAAACCACCACATATGCATATGTTGTTTACGTTAATGATTTTCTTCTAAGGCTAAGCCCTTGATCTGCTCACGGTCATTTTTGTGTTGTATAAATACACATTTAAATCCTCTAGAAACCTAAACCTGATTTGGAAATTTCTCAGCAATTGCACTGCTTTTTGGGGATTTTGGATTTAATAACCATGTGAAAGTGTCAAGTCTTGACAGGGTTTTCCCTTATAAAGAAAAAAAGTTACCCTAAACTTCTTGGTTGTTACAAAACCATATTGCTCTTATACAGTACATACTACTGGGGTTTGATAAGTGGATCTTGGAAATGTTAGAAATCTCTACGACATCATCACGGCTGAAAATTGAGCAACCTAACTGCCGCCAAAAAAATCATCCACCAGTTTCATAGACTGTTTTGATAATAATAATGTATACAATTATCTCAATCATTTTTCTCCCAATCTTTCAATTTGACTTATTTCCATTTTGCTTAACTGGCTGTATTTCTAATTTACTGATTCACTGTCGACTTTGAGCCTTAAGTTTGGGCAGATTCAAATCCAAAATGGAGTAAAGATGGATTTAAATCACTGTCAGGATTCTTGTTGATGGAATAACATCACCATCGCCTCATAACATAGTTGTCAGAGATGACTTCTAACTTATCATCCTCTAGTTTGCTTGGCTTAACACATTCGGCCATATTTGACATTCTTATCTTTCAATAGTTAAGCCATTGTTTCAGCACGATCCCTAATAAAAAACTCACCACTCGGTAATAATTTCAAATCTTCTTTCCAAGGATTTTTTATTAACCACCATTAATCATATCACATACAGTCAGAGTGAACTCTTGACTGTCGACTGTGCAATTTGTTTTGCCTCATCTATTCCCTTGAGCTCTGCAAGTCAATATTGTCCATCACACACATTCCAGCACATTCCCACGAACTGGCGGAGTTCACAAGATGCGTAAGCACGTGGTGGTGATGATGATGATAATAATTAAGGAAAATTACTTTTCTTTTTGTATTAATGTAGGGAAGGTCACCTGGCAAAGGTTGGTGTGTGACTACATGACTGCACAATCGCAGTGAACCTGATGCTCTCTAGCGTTTGTATTGTAAGTGTAACATGTTGGAATAGAGTGAAAGGAAAACTGGAGCAGACATTCTCCCTTTGCCCCGCTTGCTGTGTCGAGACAGGAAATCCTCTTTTTGATTGTTAAATGAAGAGCTCAATTCCAACAATCACTCAATCCCAGGCGTGTGCTGCCTGCACCGGAGATCTGGATCCAATGGCATGGGCAAACTGACAGAGACACAAGCACATGCATACACATTACTTGCAGTGACTTAGCCATTTGATGATCAAGTACATAACCTTGGACTTTCTTGTGTTTTCCTCATTTTTATTTGAGCCTGTAGGATTTTACCTTCTCTGCAGTAAGTCCTCAGTTTTACAAGGCCAGAGCCCAGGAAAACTGATTAGTTCTGCCATCGGCCATGTCCCAGACCTGGATACATTAGTAAACTTTCCTCTCATCTGTCCACTTGTTCATTCATGGAATAATTTTGTGTCCAAAGCCACAGCTGCCGCCATAACTTATACTGTTGCACGAAAAAGGTTAAATTATGGAATATTCGCCTACATTTCTCATGACCATACTCTAAAACCCTTGTTGGCTTTCAGAATCTGCAGTGTAGTTTCAGATTGTCTATCCAAAAACACAAACTCTTACTCAATTCCTTAATCATTCCACACCTGATGGTTCTTAGCATCGGGTATATGATTAAATCTCTTTACAACCCTTCCAACAGTTGATTTTTGGAGTGTCCTGCTGGATCATGCATATCATGAGTTTGTTTCATCAATCAGCGCTGAAGTACAATAGCACAAACCAATTAAATATGTCACAGCTTGTTAGTTAAAAGGTTAGGCATTTTTCAGTGCATTTGAGTAATATATAAGCACACCTAATTCCCAACATTTGCCTCCTTAGGTGACAAACTGGTAATGTTTTCCCCCCAGTGTCTACACTCAGTGAGCAGAACAACGCTCAGTGTTCACACAGTATTTGCTAATAAAATATTATCGCCTTTGACATGTGGTTTAAATTAATTGGCCTCCCACTGCATGTAATTGCCATTAAACGTAATCATAGTGATCCTGTAGCCCTGTTCTCTCCTCTGTGTTTTGTTTTTATTGATATGAGCCAGGTTTTTCCCTCAAATAAATTGGTATTTCTGGCATCAGCTCACCAGTCTCGTAGGGTTTAGCTTGTAGTCATCCCATAACAACTAGAGGGAATTTTTAATCCTCCCGTTATTTGTATTTCATTGCTGTTTCTTGCACACATGAGGCCACCATGTCTGGGATCCAGAACGACCCTCTCAGGGGTTTCTCTGCATGGGTTGATTCCAGAAATCTGTCATGAAATGAGGTTAGGGGATGCAGGTGGGGGTGGAGGGTGTCCATAGTACTGCAGCAGCTTTCCAACTGCAATACCTCATCAGTAGGAATAGAATTAGAGTGTTCTCATGATCAAACCTATAACATTTAGTTTCTTTGCTTTCACTTTGGCTGGAACTGCTGTGTTCACATTTCAATATGCTGCCCATCGACCTGACCTGACCTTGGGCACATGTTTATGCCAAGACAGATTTCCGTTTTGGTGTCAGAAATGATGGAAGTGTTGGAGAATGTTTATCTAATAAAAGGGGGGTCATTGTTCAGAAATGCTGTTACATGTCATTGCAATAAAATAATAATCAAAAAGACATGGACGGCTTAGAACTGATTGGCTACACTTTTATCTCGGATAACTTTTAGATGGTGTCATGCGTGTTGTTGATAGAGGATGACCTATGCGTTCTCTCTTGTATGTTTCAGGTGTGTATGTACCACCTGGTACTGGGATTGGACCAGGAGGCGCCGGACCAGGAACTGGATTCTTTCCAGGTAACAGAGCCTCTGCTGACTGCCTGGACAGATTAAAGAGAATAATCCACAACACAGCGACAAACAAACAAAGTCTGTTGGTGTTTAGCAGACGTATAACAGTTAAATTATACCAGTTAAGACCAGAGGTTTTACTGAAAGTTAACACAGGTCGGTATAACAAATATCTGAGTGATGTGGTGATTCATTGTTTTACTCAAAAGATTAAATAATTAACACATTGTTTTATACATTTCACGCCTTTAGGATCATGCAACTGTAATACTTCCTACAGTTGCAAATAACTCACTTTATTCATTGCAGTATGTATTATGGATAAGTTTAAATAAACAGAATTGTAAAGCACCTACAAGCTGTATGGAGCTTTGCACTCTCATAGTAAAGAAGCAAATGCAGACATGTATAAAATGCCACAAGACGCTACAATACGCTCAATCAGGGTGTCCTGTAACAAAGTAGGACTTCGGATGGTGTAATATTAAATTGCTTAGCCCAAAAACTGTACATTACATCACTACATGTACGCATACCATAACTATATACTTTGTATGATTATTATTTTACAAGGGTCTGCTGGAGGAGTCCCTGCGGGCTATAAACCAGCAAAAGCTCCAGGTGAGTAGAAGAGACATTAGATTTATGATCCTTTCCCCCATCTCCTGTATAAGAATCGCATCTGGTTTATCGTGCACTGGTGCACTTCTGTTTTGCTGCTTGGATATAATAAGGGAACACTGTTTATTAGTAGGGAATTATATTGTCAAATATTTAGAAATCTGTATTAATTACATTACTAAGTTTCTCTGCATTTTGTATAGCCAGGAGTACTAAAGCCATTACAGCAGGAAGAACTGAACTTCAAGAAGAAATAATTGTATAAAACCAAATCCCTTGTCAATACTCAGCGTCGTTCTGGTCCGACCTGCATGGCGGTAACACATGCACACACTTCCTTGTCACAATACCACAAGCTTAGAATTAAATGCTCAGAACATTGCTGTAGCAATAAACAATTTGTGTTTAGCCAACCACTGTTATTGAGTCATTTTATTGGAAAACATTTTGAGGTTTGAGGTCTGCAAATGTGTGGCCGGTTACATATTTCACTTGTACAGGCTTAGGGGTGAGTAATGGAATGGAATGGAAAGCCTAAGTCATGACGATTACAACATGACCACAAGGCAAGAACACTATTAGCAGATGATAACAATGCATTTTGACAACAATAATGACAATATGATCACAATCACTGCGTTTGACCCTGACAGTCGGAGGTTATGGAGGTGGGGGCCGTGGAGTAGGACCAGGGGGTCTGGTGCCAGGAGGCGTTGGGCATGGTGGCCTGGGCGTTGGAGGACTGGGAGCAGGTAAGAAGATGAAAATAAAAACTTGTTGTCACTAATAGTTTGCCTTTAACATCTTAATGGGCCTTTTAAATCATATCAACACACATTTTTAGTTATTGGTAACAGAAAATGATTACTGTCATACACGGTATATACTGTACACAAGAATATATGACAATATGGATAGTTTTGATAAAGGGCAAAAGCGTAGCCTCACATGTGTTTTTACTTGTTTTCGCCCAACAGGACAAGGTGGAAAGCCCCCTAAACCAGGTTAGTTAACAACATTTCTGCTCTTTATTGAGTTCTGGGGTCCAACTTAATAGAAAATATACTTTTTATTTTGTATGTGCATATATTAAAATGGAAAAATGTATATTCATTTATATAAATATGTTTTATGTTAGATTTGTAAACGTATTCCTAACCATGTGTTGTTACAGTACACTAAATTAAAGTTCAATGAGGTAAAAGCTATAAAGCCGTAAAGGTGAACAGATTGTTGAATGGAAAACTCCTTTGAAATACTTGCACTTTTAAAGAAAGGAAATGTATTTGTATGGGGTGGGAAATGTTTATTTAATGTATAAACTACATTACGTTCACACACCAATAGAATAGGGAGACATGCACGGATGCAGGGAAGGGGCTACAGAGTCTTTTGATGGGTTGTCACCAAGTTTTCTTATCACAAAGTTGCTTGGCAGCTGTGGGGCGTCCTGACAGGGTGGGTTGATGCAGATATTTCCAGGAATGTTACACCTCTGCTGTATGAGGGGGTGGTGATTGGCAAACGGGCATCAACGCCTGACTAACAATGGCGCCAGGGCACTGATTAATGTTATTGTAATGTTAGACCCGTACAATATCTGGAAACCCCCGTGTTGAAATTTACCGTGGCCCTTCTCTCCGATACCATACAGTAAATATTTTCCTTTGCTGTATCCCAGTCTGCGCTGCATTGCTGTGTGAGCAATGTTTAGCCATAGCTGAATTTCCGTAAGCATTGCTGATACTATCTTGGCTTACCTCTACGTGTCGAGAAAGATAAGGAAACATGCAACTGTTTTATAGACTCTGGAGTGCCACACCTTCACCCTTAAGAGCAGTTACAGGGAAGCCATTTTGTGAAAATTACCTAATATCAAGTCTTTGGTAGAGGTTTATTTTGGCTGGTGGCAACAGAGCTGTGTGGGAAATATTGCCCTGGCTTTTGTATGTATTTAAGTTCTTCCTCTAGTGTGTGGCACAGGATGTTAAAGGCAGTTCCTTGTGTTTTTTTAAGTAAGTGCTGTTTGGATCTAGGTGTTCCCTCCATTACAAATCTCTTAACACAGAGCTATGGGTCATTTCAGGTTTTCTTAAAGGTAAAAAAGGGCTTAAAATCCCTAAGGGGTTGTAATAGTGTATGTAATATATATTGTTGTTGTAGTTTTGTTCTGTAATCCGTGAATTTTCCTTTCCAATTGCGTTTACTTTTCATTTTGGCCTTATTGCATTCCATCAGATATGAAGCTATCCACATTTGGATATGACAACTTTTTGCATATCTTACAAGTAATATTTCCATTACTATTCAAATGCACGTCCACAGTACAGCAGCAGGTAAGACTCTTATTGGCAGGTTAAATCCATCTGCATTAGTTTGTCAGTTTTTGGCTTAGTTATGTTGCAGAACACATGCCAGAAGAATTGATATGCTACAAGCTCATGAAAATCTTCGACCCCTTTATTAACCATTAGTATATAAAGCACGATTCTGGACACACAAATGCAAACAACTACTCTTAGATGCACAGTCACACACACATTAAGAGAGCTGCCATTCATTCTTATGTGGAAGCCTTGCAAGGACATTCCATAGATATGCACCTTGCTTGGCCAGTAATGGAGAACAGCAGCTGGCTATGTGAGTAGCGTGACTGCAGTGAATTGCAGCCCAGCTCATGCAAGATCTTGTAAATGTCACACTAACTGTGAAGGCTGTCAGCATACAGCTTTTGACAATACACTGAAAGTTGGAAAGAGGAACTTCCTCTTTATGAACAGCTGTTGGACACCCTCTCCTTTCCTGTGTTCCCTTAAAGGTGGGCTCAGTCCTCATGGTGTGATTGCCAAGTTTTTTTAGTTTTTTTTATGCTAGCCTCTTATCACTTTCAGACAATGTTAAGGCAGTTTATAACGGACAAAGAGGTTTTTGCTCTCGGTGTAGTTTTACTCTACCATTAAAACACTCTATTTTAGGTTGAGAGAGAATGTGTCTAGGAGGGATACCTACAGTATGTTTCTAAAATATCAGAGAGCAATACATATATATACAATACACAAATATAATCACATGTTATAAGTATGTATACATGTATATTTTGTTAATATTTTGTCTATCCTTTTTATCAATGAGGATCTACTGTACATGACTACACATATTGGTGTTTAAGGATAACTGGCAGTGTCTGGCCATATAAAGGTTGTGGGAGATGTGTGCGAAAACAATTATTTCTGACTAAAGTAATGAATTTGACGGTTAGCTGGCAGTGTGTTGTTTGCAGCTTGCCTATAGTTGGTATCATCAGCTAGCCAGAAGCCAAACCAAAAGGTGGCATTCGTATAAGTTATTACACTAGTTTATGTTATTTTTGCACTTGCGGAAATTGACAATGTCAGCTTAATAATATGAGTATACAACATAACATTGTAATGCAATATATCTCAGCCGCACCACAAACCAGAGCCTGCTTCAATTAAAGTAGTATTTATTGCAGGGTATGACTGCATGATATTTAGATAAGTATTACAAATAAACTGAAGGCTGAGTTTATATTGTTCTCACTACTTATCTCACCTTTATTTTGGCTCTTCCCTGCCACTGAGTTATCATAACAATGTGAAGTAATGGAAAATAGTCCCCGCAATTAGATACAAGATAAAATCGTGCTTAAAGATGAAAATATCTATATACTTTAAGATGATTGATTACATTGGTCAATAACACAACAGGTCTACAAGTTCTGCAATCTTGGATCCTTCTGTGACTACAGACAAACCTGCAGAGAGTATACCTATACAAATACCTGTAATTAATGATTTGAAGTTTGTATAGCCGGTGGCCAACACAAACGATTGCTCACTTAAAGGCTGTATCTAGAAATATTCCTCTTTTGTATAGGTAATCAAGAACATTGTTATGGCACCCCTACCCTCTCATTTCAACTTACACTCTTTGGATCGCTTACAATAATATGTGAATCCAATATGCAATTTAAAACGCACAGCCTTTCAGTACACCTGGTTCTTCTATTTTCAAAACCTTCAAACCCTCTGGAACATATCAAGGTCATTGTTTAAAGTAATGTTGAGTGTCCTCGGAATAGCATGGAAATGGAAAGATGGAAGGGATATTGGGAGGACAGAGAAGAGACAGGGCTGAAGCGAGGAGGACGATAACAACCAATAACTCTTGAGAACAAACCGTATACTATATATTAGGGGTACTCAAACTTTTTTGTTAAAGGTCCACTTGTGAATTTTATACAAGGTCAATGGTCCGGATCAATGCCAGTAAAAATGCTAAAATGGCATTAGAAGCATTAGAAAGTCAAGGTAAACTTGCGGTTAACTTAAATGCGTAAGTAAATATATGCACGTTCATTCTCACAACGCGTCAGACACAAGAAAATATACATTAAAGGTGACCTATCGTGCAAAATGCACTTTGTGATGTCTTTTATAAATAAATATGTGTCCCCGGTGCGTCGAGGAACTCACGCAGCGTCAGAAAATAAAACCCTCTCTCTTTTCCTCCGTACCCAAATCTTTTAAAAACAGGGGTACAACGAGCGGATACAGATTTGCTCCGATCTGACGTCCAATCGGCAGCGGACCCACAGAAAGTTGCTATCAGAAACAATGCCTGACGTGTTTTGGACGTAATCTCGTCTTTGTTTACATTAGCAAGCCTCGCTAACACTCAGAGCTAACCTGTACTGGAGAGCACATGTTTTTAAAAAGCAGGAAATAAAAAAAGGAACTCACCTTGTGATAATCCCCCAAGAGAAAAAGCATTTGAGATCCATACTGTTTCAGAAATAATCTTTGATGTGGTTTAGAACAGGATGGCGTTTTATCACAGCAGAATTTAACTTTATCTCCGGTAGAATTCTGATCAGGCATTAGCTCCTCCTCTTTTTTTTTTTTTTCAAGCTAAGGACCCAAAATCCGCGTTTCTCTAACAGGGCTGCAAAAGAGGGGTATGAGCAGTATGAGGCATGGCTACAATGGCTGATCTGTTTGGTATTTTAAGCAAAAAACTTCACAGACATGTTTTCTATAGGTATGGCCCTACAATATATTTTTCCAATATAGCATGATAGGTCCACTTTAAAGGGGCCATGTTGCCACTTTCTACACATCATTTCCATTAGTTTG